CATTTTTTTATTTAAAATTTTTTTATTTTCTCCACACTCTCTCACATCATTCATCTCAAAGCTTACCTTTGTCTTTCTCTTTCTTCTGCACCCACGCTTACTCGAAAAAGTCCGCCCGGGTCAGCCGCACAGAGGAAACCAAGCTGGGCCAGCAGAGAGAGAGGGAGGAAGAGTGTGATGAGCAGATAGGAGATAGGAGACACAAATAGAGGGGAGATCTAGCAGTGTGCAAATTGGATGTTGAGAAGGAAGGAAGGAGGGAAGGAAGGTAGGAAGAGGAGAAGGAGGGAAAAAAGGGGGCAGCTCTCAGCTGCACTGGTATGAATATGACGCAGAGGCAACAGCCAGTGCCACTTCTCCTCTCCTCTCTCTTCTCCAGCCTCATCCCTCCATACCCACCAAGAGAGACGAGAGGGAGAGAGAGAGAGAGAGAGAGAGAGAAAGAGAGAGAGGGGGCACTGTATCCATGGCAACGGCAGAGCAGTGGTAGGTAGCAGTTAGTGTTGGGGCACAGTGGTGTTCCTCGCTTCCTCTGTTGCTTTCACATACAGCTTTTAAGTCTTTCAGCTCCCACAGATGAACAGTACGTAGCCTCTGGTATAGTAGAGGAAAATATTAGCTGCAGTGAATTCACAGGACATGACATGTAATGAGAAGCAGGCTGTCTGGGCCCGTTGTGTCAAACGCATGGGGAACAGGCATGGTGTCCTGCAGAGAAAACACGTCAGTTCTACTGCATTTTAAACAAACATTAGGGAATCACCAGCATCAAGAAATGGAATAATAACACTCCAACATTTGGACAGGTGGAACCACAAAACCTTCAAATGTTGGTGAACCCAGCCGCAAAACTAGCATTATTAATATTTTTAAACAAATGTTATACGGTGCAGGACACCATGGTCTTGTTCTTCACAGGAAATTCATGTTTTTTAAAGGAAATGCAACAAGGGACAGACCTGATCAGTGAGACTCCTAATTGTTGCCTTGGGAGTCCTGGAATAATGCCAGAAAAGAGACAGCACACAGACAGAAATCTACACTGCAGTGGGTCTGTAACCTGTCATGTCTGTAGTTTTGAAACTGCTTGGCAACAGGGATGCTTCCTCAAATTCACCGTGATGCATGCACAAGTTCACTAAAGAGCTCTGCCACAGCAAGGAGGCTGCTGGAGAAGATTTTAAAACTTTGTGAACAGCAGTGCAAGAACAGAGCAGTTTTGCTCCTCACACAGCAGAGAATATAAGACAAATGCAAAATAATAGACACATACAAAGTGGTAAACCACAACGGTACACCACAGTGTGAGTGTGTGAGCCTGGTATTACTCATATTGTGGGGACCAGAACCTCTTTACACACTCACCTTGTGAGAACTCTGCCTTTCTCATGAGGACCCAGACCCTATGTAAATCATTAAATTTTAGGGTTAATGTAAATCTCCACAAATTAACGTAAGTCATAGTAAAGTCCCCACGAGGGATGGGAAGTGTGTGCATGCATAGCTGTAACTGGTTTCACCTCTAATCCGTTTCTACCTGTGGGACACAGGGAATTGCCTATGGGTTTTCTGTGCAATGGTGTACTGATCCTAATGAGGAACACATCACCCCCACTTTAGAATTTGACCCAATTTAATCCCCACCTCTCTGTTTCACACACTGTTTATTGTACCTTTCCTTCCTGTACTACTTCATAGAATCCACCACTGTACCGCTGTACCGCTGTCCTTTATTTAATTTGCCTCCCCAGCTCTGATGGAAAACCATTTTTCTTCTCAGTGTGATGTTTGGTTTGTCCTGACTGTTCTCCAGGTGAGCGATAAATGTTTTCACAGCTGTGCAAAAGGCTATGTAGGCCTATTATATAATTAGGTCTAAACCAGAAAACAGAACTTGACAAATAATAATAATAATAATAATAATAATAGATAGGTCCAAATATCAGCTTTTCCTAGAGCTTTAACTGCATCTTAAAGTCTTCATCAACTAATGCTGTTTTCTCAGATGTCATCACTTGATCTAAGTATGGGATTTAGGTCACAGGATAACAGGCCCATATTTTGTATCGGAAAGACTGTAACCTCTGTCTCTGTCTGTTATGATGCATGTGAATGGCCCCCAGCTCTCTGAAAAACAGATTATGCCATATTAATTTGCAGGACAAGATGTATCCTAAGAATAGTGATTTTAAGGCATGATCTTTCAAAATAAAAGTGTGTTTATAAATGGTCTTATACTTGCATAGCACCTTTCTATGCAATGCAGCACATTCAAAGCACTTTCACAATATTTGGCCATCCACCCAGTCACACTCCCAAGCACTCACACATTCATGCACCAGTGCCATCACTGGGAGTAACTGTGGGTTTGGTGTCTTGCTCAAGGACAATCTGACTTGTGGACTGGGCAAGCTGGGAATTGAATCGCTAATCTTCCAGTTAGGAGATGACCTCCCCCCCTAATTGTGTGATATAAAATAGTCTACAAATATATGCATTTGTTAATGCAAGAGTCCTATCAAATGTACCCATTATTATACTTTGACACAGTGAAATGCAATCTGGAACACAGTGCAAACATGTTTGAAATTACATGACTGTCATCATGTAATCTAACAGAGTTAAATATAAAATGACTTTACATTTCTTGTCCAAAGAGATGTGTGCTTTAACTGTTGCACAAACTGCATCTCAAACTAGAGGGGAAACCGTCTCCACACAAATGATGTTATTCTCATCCAAAGAACAACATAAGAGTCCTCCAACCCTGGAGGGCCCTCCATACTTCCTTGTTTCCACAGTCACCGAAAGTACAAAGAATTAGACTCAAGCTGTGGGAGCAGAAATGCCAGATAGATGGAAAAGAGCCAAGAAACAGCACAGGCACTGCCAATTAGCCTAACCTGTCTCAAAAATTACAACTTTAAATTCTTTGATTTGACCCATTTATTTACTTATTATGTTACATTTTTGTCCTGTGTATTTTTGTGGCATTTTTCAGCAAACATCAGAAGATATGTTTCCATTAGGTAACATGTAAAGTCCAACACATCAAATCATGAATATTTGTCACTGTATAATGATGTGTATTGAGTGAAGCTCAAATAAACTGTCAAACTACAATATAGGCTAAGTCTATGACCCTCAGTTCTCATCAGTGGAGCACTTGTAAGACGTCACCTCCAGTTTTATTTGGTGTAGGTAGACACTGGGGCTGCATGTAACAATTATTTTCCTTCAAGTGTTTTTTTTTAATTAACTAACCGATTAATTGATAGTTACTAAAATGTCGGGCTAAATAGTAGAAATTATCCATCACAAATTCTCAATCATGTGGTTTTGTCCAAACCCCCAAATACTCCACTATAAGGCTGTGTTGAACTCGGGATGTAAAGAACTACAAACAAACATGGTCGCATAACCTCTGACCAACACCGTCAGTTTGCGTCATTTTGCCGGGAATATTGGGCCACGTGTGTCCGGCACGCTCGCACCTCATGTTGTTCCTCTGACACCATTCATCGCTTGCCATTCTGAAACGAGTCGGGGCAGGGAGTCTGCTCGCAAGATGGCGGCGCGGTGGGGAGCAGGCGAGGAGACTTTAACTGCGTGCAATATAGAATCTTTTCCTATGGATACACTAGACATGGTAAGAAATGTGTTAACAGCTTTATTTCCTACCATTTAAGTGCACTGTTATTCGTTTCGTATGTGTTTTAGAAGCAGGGCGGAGCGTGTTGTGTGTGCACTGCGCCTGGAAAAGTGACACGTGGATGCAAACGTAGTATCACTAGTAAAACGTACTCAGACGTACTCGTTGTTTTGTGGTTTTTGCAGTTGGATATCTCGTTAGATGTGTATTTACTGTGGAATCAATAAAGATTTACTTAAACGTGCTGGTCGTGTTAGCGGTATGTCCATGCTGAGCTAGCTGGTGAGTCGTTGTGACTTCGCCGGCCGGCTAGTGAACAACGGAGGTTCCACCCATATAATATAAAAGTCGCATAAATAAGTGAAGTGACAGTTCTGCAGTTAGTTAGTTGGTCTGGCGTATTCCTCGGTTGTATAATCAATGAGTATTGCCCATTTAAGCTCTGTCACTGGTTTCATATCAACCGTGTGTCGTGACTCGTGTGTAAACCGATTCATACACACGTGGTAAACACCGCAATGTGCTAGCTAGCTAGCTAGCTCTGCCATCACTGCACAGTGGATGCAGACTTATTTCTTGTTTGACAGTGGTTATGCTGCTATACATTAGTAATTTTTCCATGGTGTAGTTGATGAGCTTCCTGCCAGCACATTGCAGTAATGTCTCGTCAGCTTTTAGTTTAGCTTTGGGTTTAGTCGTGGTAAATCCCACATTGGGTACCTTCATATATTCACAGGAGACCCAATCTAATCGGTACACACACACTCTTAAATGCATTAATATGTTGTCTTTCAGGTTGTATGGCTCAAAATGAATGTTAATACTCTGTAATAATTCTTTAATATATTACTTGTGTGGTGTAGAAGAGAATTATCTATGTAGAGATACTGCTTGCAAACCAATGATGTAAGATGATGTCATGGGGTAGGACTGGATAAGTCTGACTTCTTCCTACTCCATTCAACCATGTACTAGGTATAAGCAAATTGATATTGGATTAGCATTTGTTGGATATGTGTAAAATTGTGTGTGTTGATATATCAACTGTCTTTACATGCTTGAAAGAAAGAATAAATCAAGTTAAATCAAATCAAATATGAGACTGTTTGTTGTAGTGCAGCACGTGGGCTGTGTAGCTTCCCTTTGGACGGGGTGAGGCGAGGCTCAAACATGTGTAGACAAACACGTGGGTCACTGTAAAAGATTACTGCGTTTTTAGTTGAAGGTGCTAATGTTTTCAGTTGTGTGTCTGTGTGTGTGTAGTTATGCATATGACTTGAATGTAGAGAGTTGTCATATACCAAACAAGTGAGGTCACAATTTATATCGCACATTTAAAACTACTCACTGAATTTTATATTCATGTTTTTATCTAAAATGTAATGTTAAAGTATTCTTGACTTGGTCATGTTTTACATTCAATTTCTCAGGTCAGATTTAAAGGTTTAAAGGTTTATTTCTTTGTAAAGCAGCTTAAATTGATCATTTAAGTGTATGTTGGAGTCCTGCTGGTGCAACAGGTCTTATTTGCTATAATGTAAACTTAAATCCAACTCCCCAAATAAACTCCACCTGCTAGAAAAAGTATGGCATGCATTAAAAAAGTGGCAGTTTTTAAAGAAACAAAGAATAATTTTAAAAAGCTAATCTTTTAAAAATAAGTGTTTAATATATTATGAAGTTGTTTAAAATGTTCATAGAGGACTAGAGCAGTGGACGGCTGTCAGATTTGGTGAACTTGTTTAAAACTTAGTTTGCTATTTTTATCTGTCCCTTAGAACTGTAGTATTAAATATTATGTGTGGTGGTTGCTTTCAGATCATTTTTGCCTGAATCGTTTTTAGTTTTGTTTTGGGGGTTTTTGCCTAAGAAATCTGAAGTGTGTTCTTCTCTCTCTAGGCTGCTGGGCTGAGCCCTGGAGAAACTCTGGAGGCCCTTCAAAGCTGCATAGACCCCTCAATCCTTTCTATCTTTGAAGACACACCAACCGCAGAGGCAAGACTCCTTTCACAGAGTTAAAATACACATTTCAATAACCTAAGACACATCTCTGATGTTTAAACATTGTGTACTCCCCACTGAGCATGCTTCAACCTAATTTCCATGTTTATTTAGACTAAAGGACTAGATGATGACAGTGAAGCCATGCTGCTAAGCGCCCTGACAGAGATCCTTGACAATGCAGATGATGAGAACCTGTCCCCATTTGACATGCTACCTGACTCAGACCTGCTGTCAAGTCAAAACAGCAGGGAACACTCCCCGGTTAGTGCCCAGCTGCCATACATACCTCTCCCTGTTTCACAGATCAGTTCTCATGCCACCCTCCATCAAGCTTTTGAGCTTGAGGCAAAGAGAGTGACCTGGGATGAAGGACTAGCAGCTGTTATATGTTTACACACACTTCATTTATTGTTTTAAAAGTACAATGTACCCATGTAGAGGATGAGTATATTGTCCTAATGCTTTGGTTTCTACTCTCTAGATCAGTAGGTTGCTGTGTCTGTCTCGCTCGCCTCCAGAGAAAGATACACTATGCAGCCGAAGACCCTTGTCAACTGGAAAGGTAGCATCCCCTGCACATGATTAATATGTACATGAGCTATAGGAACAGACAGAAATTTGACTGGATGTTTATTTCCTTGTCTGCACCCAGAGTATCCCCAGAATGCAGGCAGGCTCTCTCCAGAGGAGTGATGGGGAGGAAATAGAAGAGGGCTCTCTCTGGGAAGAGCACACCCTCCCATTTCCTGTCACCATTGAACAGGAGGGTGAAGATGGTGTTCCTGTTAGCCTGGGGGACTTGGTCAGGCACATGCACCCGTACTGTATGACTATTTGTGTAGAGAATGACAATGGGGAACAAATATTGCCTGAAGGAGGCATTTTATTTGAGGTTTTGGATCAGGCGGAGAATGGAGAACCCATCTTGACCATCCCAGACATGGGTCTCCTGGGTTCTCTGCCACTTAAAGAGCACATTGCAGAAAATGACCAGAAAGTTTTAGATGAAGCAGAAGAGCAGGCCTCTGACAGGTCAGACCTTATAGTCGTCGATGATGAGGATGTAACAGTCAGCAAGGCTCCACTAAAAGTTACATCCCCTGCAACACCAGGCCTATGTTCAGATGTGACAGATAAAATGATCATTCAGAAACAGAAGGAGAAGATGAAAGAGAAAAGACCCTCCCACAGAAAAAAGAAAAAGAAATGCAAGGAACAGTGCCGACCAGAACTTGTGGAGGGAAGGGTCCTTAGGAGTACCACAGGAAGAAAGATGGCACAGGAAGCACCCAAAAAGCCTGAAAAAAGGCCAGTGAAAGAAGAGAAGAAAAACAAAGTACCAAAGGTTCCTCTCACTTCTACTCTAGACTCTTCCTCTGTAAAACCTAAACAACTAAATTCGCACCAAACTGAAAGAGAAGTCACCTCTACAATACTAATGCCTGAAATGGATATGCAAGCTGCTACATGTGTGTCACCCAGACAGGACACAGCTCAATTAAACGCTAGCCCTGAGAAGAGACACTCTAGCTATTCACCCAACACACTGAGCTCCCAACAGCCTGATGAAATGTTGAAAAAGCCGGCCCCAGCCCTTGAGAAGCTGGAAGGCTCCCCGGAAGCTCCCACTGCTGTCTTGCCCCCACTGCCCTCAGAGAGCCCTGCAGCTGCTGCCAACCCCATAACATCCCAGGTAACACCACCTGTTAGTGAGGCCCTCCCTCCTGTGGCCCCTATATTCTCAGAGCCAAAGCCCAAATCACTCAGTCTAGAGGAGTACCGGTGCCTCCGACAGCAGAAAAAGCCACCTCCGGTGGTAAAACAGGACAACAACAGCACCAAGTGGCCCAGCCTCCCAGAGCCCCCTAAAGAACTTCCCCCTATTCCCTGTTTGCCCGAGCCCAGCCCAGAGGGTCGACGGCCCAACCGCCAGGCAGCGAAGAAGGAAGTGTCAGAGGTCAGACCTGCGTGGCAGCCAAAGGGACCTGCTGCACCTCCTACCCCTGAGGCACTGCTGGTGCCACCATCCTATATGGTTGCCTCATCCAGCAAAGTTTCAGCTCCTATTTCTAAACCCCAGCAAATTCAGAAACCTTCCAAACCTGTACCACTCCAAAAGCCTTCAGTACCTGCCCCTAATTCAGTGAAGAATTTACCCATACATCAAGAGCCCACTGCTCAACCTGTAGTACCTTGTGTGCCTCAGATCTCTGAGCCTCCACCTTCTTTTATACAAGCCACTCAGCCACTCATGTCCTCATCAGATGGAAAGCATGGAGTCAATGGAAGGCCTCAGATTCAGCCTGTACCTCCTAATTCTGTAGAGCTTACTAAAACCACCAGTATGTATGCTCCCAGTGCCCCAGAGAAGACCACTGCTGTTTCACAGACGGTGCCCGGGGCCTCTGCTGCTACCTCACTGAGGAACCCCAACACCTCTGAAACAAGATCTTGCAAACCCACACCCAGCATCACCCAGCTTTGTTCTTCTCCAGTTCTTTGTTCCTCGGAGTTCCAGGGACCTGTTGTATTTGAAACTAAAGGGAAACCCACTACAGCAGTGAAGCCACAAAGACCAAAGAGCCCCACACAGGAGCTGATTGAGGCCTTCACCAGTGAGATAGGTGAGCTTAATGTTGATTGCATGCTTCAGGTGCTAAAATTGTCATGAAAGGCTGGAATACCATGTTATTTCTGTATGCTCTCCTGGTTAAAAGCCATGTTAGCAATTTCTTGTGAACAAACACTGAAACAACCGTTTTAAGTGACATATTTGCAAGTAGAATTTATCTGCAAAGCCCTTGTTGGAAAAAGTGCTGTTATCTCTGTTGCTCTGGCACATAATCCGCTGATTTAGGCAAGCCGATTTTACCGCACTAACAGCCCTGCAGATAACGGCTCTGCAAATAATATACAATGTCACTGTGACTTCAGGATCGTTTTCTGTAATCATCCTCAACTTGTCTGTCACCACTGTATCCTGTCTGTCTCTTCTGTCTTTGTTCTTGACCTATTTCAGTGTAAATGTAAACAGTATTTACATGATGGTTTTGTTTGTTTTTGTAGGTATTGAAGCTGCTGATGTGACCAGCTTGTTGGAGCAGTTTGAGGAAACCCAAGGTAATCAATAATGGCTGATTGTCCTTCTGTCTGAGAAAGGGTTCTCTGTCCATTTCATGGTTGGTGATGTAGCACAGGATTTACCTAATTTCTAGCAGAAGTGTGCTTGTACTGGCCATTAGCTTGGTGGGGTCACATAGTTTAGTGTCGAGCTAAATGCAGTCGGTGTCAGTTTTCCTGGTTTCATATTGGCGGGAAGTGGCATACAACATAGCAGCACTATCATTGGGTAGCAGTAGTGGGTTAGTTGGTAGGACTTTGACTAAAAGACTTGGAGATAGCAAGTGGTTAACTAAAGAGCACCACTAAACAAAACAAAGTTATGCATATGTATCAGTGCAGTTAGATGAGTACCCACCAGGTCTCTTCAGGGTTCATGATCCAACAAAAATTATCTATGGAGCAAAGACAAAATGATCTTGAAGATTCTCCTTGAAGTGTGTTTAACATTCAAAGCCTGAGGGGATGATGGTAAAGATTTTTTTGGTCTACTGAAACATTCCCCTCTAAGAGGTGGATGCTACAGGGGTCAGAGAGCTGTGTGCTCTTGTCTGCTCAGCTGCTGGAATTCTGCCCTTTTCACAGATCCTTTTAAACTCTCATCCTGCTGCCTTTGTTTGGTTGGATGTACAGGCCCAAACGCGAAGTTCCCGGACTATGTGCCAATATCTCTGTCAGTGGTTGTGTTATTGAACCATAGTACTGTGCTATGGCTAATGTAGGCAGCTGGTAATTTTGTGAAAATACAAAATGCATTTTGCACTACATTTATACAGACAGTTTTACCCCCACAGTCTTAAATTTCTCTGTGGTATTCCTCTGTGGTTTCCTATGTTGATGCTCTTACTTCTCCCTTCAGCCAAAGAGAAGCAATATGTGCCGGAGGTCTCTGGTAGAGCAGCAGCTGTAGGAAGCTCGAGGTGAGTTACCCTACAGCCCTCAAGCTGCTCTGTGTGAGTGATAGTTTTCTCTGAAAAACTCTGGGTGAGTGAAACCTGTTTGGTCTGTGTGTGCGCGCGTGCGTGTGTAGGGGTTCAGACATCCACCTTTTGCCAAGACCTACCGCACACCTGCTGTGGTCTGGAGACCCACAACTATGGCCTTCTCAGGTCTAAATTTGTGCAGCCTGGCGACATGTTAAGGCATTTTGTCCAGACCTGGTTGCACTCTAATCCTAAAGCAAACTGAGGTGGGAGCTCCACTATTTACCAGTGATATGCTTGTGTGCTTGCTTTGCAGTTTTGAGTTGGCACCAGAGAACACTGTTGTGGAGCGTGTGAGAGCTAATGATCTCTCGTCTACTGCAGGTAATTCAGCATGTTGTCTTTCATTTTAAATAAAAGTCCATTAAGTTAAATTGTCAGTAGTTAGTTATTATGATCAATGATTTGCTACCTTGTGACACAAATGGCCCTCTGCTGTTGAATGCTGGGTATAATCGTGGTGCACTTTCTTTCCCTCTGCCCCAGCTTTAACCCCTCCAGCCACTCCTCCCCACCACATGTGGAAAGCTCTGGCCCTTGTGGCCCTGCTGAAGAAGAGCAAGGCCACTGAGGCCTCCAAGTCTATTCCCTCCAAGGTTATCCAGATAGAAGCTCAGCCACTGCCCTCAGCGAAGTCCCGCAGCAAACCCACTTCAGCAGCTGCCACTGTAGCCCCTGACCTAGCATGCAGGGACCATGACTATTGCTTCCCCAGCAAAGGTGCTTCTGCTCAAGAGCCAGGCAAGCGGTGGAATGTCAAGCAGCAGTCTTTTATCACTATTAAACCCATCAAGAAATCTACTGCTACCACTACAGAGACCCCCCCAGCTGCCCTGGCACCATCTGTCCAGTTTACCCCAAACGGAGGAGCAAAAACCAAACCACAAGATTTTCCACCAACAGAGCCCCTGGATCACAGGACTGATGGGTTGGAGAGAAGCTCTGTTCTGGAAACCCCTGATGCTTCTCCTGCTCGACAGGAGACTGATTCCACTGTTAGGAGAGGGCCTTCTGGGGGGTCCTACTGTGGACATGCTGCTTCTAACACCCCTAGCCCCAGATCTAGTCCCAGAGAGAGGACTGGAGGCCGGTCTAGAAAAAGATCCCATTGTTCCTCCAGCCCTATGTCAAGTGGTTCAGAGTCAGACTCCCAGTCTTCTAGATCTCGGTCTAGATCACACTCTCCATCTAGGAAAAGGTTTGGCCCTTTGTCAAAGCGTGAGCTTGATGCAGCATCTAAATCTGCGGGCTAAGTCTAGGGGTTGATATTTCTTGTTCCTCACAGGGATTCCTTCTTTTTGCCCTCCAGGTATCGTCCCCGTCACGGTCGCTCAGAGAGCAGTTCCAGCTCTTCGTCCCGTTCCTCCTCTCGATCCTCTATCTCTGTGTCCTGCTCCCCTCCCAGGAGGAGGAGGAGATACTCGTATTCTTCCTCTCGTTCCGGCTCATGGAGTCGCTCCAGATCATGGTCTCGATCGCCTCAGAGACGAGCGTGGCAGAGTAGAAGCAGAAGATTGTACAGGTACAGTATCTTGATCACTCATCTGGATGGTGGTCATCATGGGGTTTTAAGCAGTTTCACTTGTACATTACTTTGACATAGATAAAAATGAATAAAGGCTTCATCTTCTTCAGTCCATACAGAGAAGACTATGGCCACAGGGCAAACACAAACTTAGAAGAAGTGAAGAGACGCAAAGAGAAAGCTACAGTAAGTTAATATTACTCAGGGTTCATGTCTCTAAGCACAGTACAACATTATAACTTCCAATCATCTGATGGGCTGCTTTGTTCTGTCAGGAGGAGCGCCGGGTCGTTTATGTTGGTCGGATTCGGGGCACAATGACCCAAAAAGAACTTCGAGAGCGCTTTTCTTTCTTTGGCGAGATTGAAGATTGCACCCTGCACTTTCGAGACCATGGGTGAGTACATGAACAGTGAGAATTAGGCACACATGCATCCTCTTGATCATTATTATTATTATTATTTTTTTTTTGTAATTAAGGATTGTTACAATAAAGCCATAATATGAGCACATTGCACTGTCTTTGAACCTTGTTGGTCATGCCTGTGACCTCTTAGGCCAAGCTACAGTGCTAAAGCAAAATGAGGCTTGTTCATAACTGGAGTCTCCTGGTAACACCTCCAGGTCACTCTTTTAAAAGCAAGTCACAGCTCAGAACTGTAAAAGACCCTCTGTAGGCCACTGTCAAACTCAAACTGAGCTGAAAACAAACTGACGTTTTGGTTATCTGTTACAGGGACAACTATGGGTTTGTGACTTATTACAGCACCAAAGATGCTTTCACAGCCATTGAAAATGGAGGCAAGCTGCGCAAGCCTGATGAGCTGCCATTTGATCTCTGTTTTGGTGGAAGGAGACAGTTCTGCCAGTCCAGCTATTCTGACTTGGGTAGTAATGTTTTTAAATCGACACAACATACTTTGCTAGCAAGGCTGTAACTACTGTACCACTGAGGACACCCAGGTTATGTCCTCTGTTTTGATGTTATAAGAGTGGAGGTTTTATTTACCTGTTTTAATAACATATTACATTATACATGATGGGTTTTTAAATGTTTATTCTGGTGGGTTTAACTCACTGTTAAATTCCTTGCCACTACGTAACAAGCAGCATGCTGGCATGGACAAATGGAACACAGCCATCAGTACTAAAACTGTTCAGCCAAAATACAGGGTGCGCTGCTGTCCTTGTTCTATTATTTGAATGTGATGCTGATTTTGCCCTCCCTTCTCTTTCCAGATTCAAATAGAGAGTACGACCCATTGTCTGCAAAAGGCAAGTTTCATGCACTAGACTTTGACACTTTACTGAAGCAGGCCCAGCAGAGTCTGAAGAGGTAACAGGAGGCCTGCAGCAGGAAGCAGCTGACATTTACCTCAGAGTCAACAGTTGGCTCCTCATTTGCAACACTGTCTTTACATTTTAGCTGTTGCATTAGATTTCTTTGTGTTATTTTTTTTTTCCTATTGAAGTGAAGATTTGTAATAAAATCGGGAAAAGAAGACAAAAAATTGAATATATGAAATGTTTTAAAAGGTTATTTAAATGTAAAATAAAGTTTGAATTGTGTGGAAAGGATCATTTCTAAAAGGGAAAAATAAGTGGAATGGAGCTTCCTAATTATTGGGAGAGAATGTAATACATTTAAATGTACTACACACATGCATACATAAATAAAATGACTAAAAAAGTTTGTATTTTCATTTCAAATCATCTAATTGTTTTTTGTCACTGTTCTGCCACTGCAAGTTGGTCAGAGAACTTTTTCTGGCAAGACTATTTGACATGTAACAAGAAAAGTACTGAACTAAGTTTCGCTGCTTCTGTTTTTAGGGTTCTGGTACACTGTAGAAAGAAAAGGAAAGCACAGGTGAAATGAATTTGTATCCCAGGGATCCAGCATACTAAATAGCAGGGTCTTCAGAATAGTTTAGAAAAATGGAAGGCGCTTTATTATTAACACCAGTGCTTTTCTAAGACAGGGCAAAATATATGCCGTATAAAAGTGGAAGGGCCTCTAATACTGCAAGTTCCAGCTTTCATGAAATGAGGCACATTCTTATTTTCATGAGTCAGTTGCTATTTTAGAGGAGTCTCGGGCTAATTATGCTTAAGTATACTTGCCTATATGCTGGTGACTCAGAACAAAGCATATGTATTTTGCTGCCATGGTTTTAGGTCAAATCAGATTAGCAGTACCTCACCTGTTTGAATGTGGTGGTGGAGCTTTGTTGCGTTCCTAATATGGCCTGGGCTCTCAAGATTTTAGAAAGCTGTCGAGATATTCATCGCAATGACCGAGGAGAGCAAGTCAAAAATCTGAAATGACTTGAACTGAGTGTTGCAAGTTTTGGAATTCTGAGAAAAATCATTAACCTGGCTTCCTGATTACTCGACGAGATTAGCATTACTCTCAATAATCACAAATACATTTTGCTTTGTACTTTAACATTTATTTTTTATCACTGTATTTCGAAATCAATGCATTTTGAACAAATGCAAATACTGTCATTTGAATCCATCGGCCATGGGCGGCAGTTCTATGGTTTCTTGAACAAATAAATGTATTGTTTATGTTAACTAACTACATGGTGACGTTTAGACACGCAGAACATAAATGTTGCCTATCTTTTTGCCACGGTGACATCTTTGTAGTGTTTTGTCACGCAGATCTAGTTTTGACTGGTTTAATCTAGTCCCATGAGCATGCGCACTTGGTGTAAACAGGAAGAACAGACTAAAAGCAGCGAAAACTATAAAGGCAAGAATGAGCGGACAAAAAGGAGCGAACGTTTTGATTTTCTTTGTATATTAACCAACGTAAATTATGCCCTATACCATCTTATGCAAATTTCGATTACATCTTGTAGAAGCAGTCGCCAGTTTTCGAGAATTTTCATAGACTCGCTAATATCGTACGCCAGCAAACGTCGGACGGATAGTGACGTGATTGATTTCGTTTTGCTTGGAGAATTTGCTCGTTAAATTGCATTTAACAGCAACTCTGTGCTATCTGCATTCTTTCGGCTTTGGTGGCTTTACACCGAGGGAAATAATGGTTCAAAAAGATAAGACACTGGAGACGCCTCAAGTGGACGGTGAGCCGATCCCCAGCCCTGTCTCCGGAGAGGCTTGTGCCGAGGCCCCTGGCCCGGTGGAAGAGTCTGGCATCGGAAACGAGCCGACTGGCCACAGAAAATTCATTAGTGGAGTCGTGGAAGGTAATATGTAATATATGAATATAGAGCTAAACCAATAAAATCTGACCTACTTTTGATCTGCATGCAGTCATAAATAGGCTATCAATGCTGCAGCAATTCTACTTCCTGGGGGAGGTGTTTATTGTTACCAGTTAGAAATTTCGTTTGGTAAATTGATTGTCAAATTAATCACGTTTGTAGATTATGAAACCAACACAGCTAAACGCCGTACACTGGTGAATCGTTTATGTAAGGCTGACAAGTAATTCCCAGACAGCTAATTCAACAGTCGATATAACGTTACCATTGTTCTTCAAGGTCTCACCTTCTCTCAGATGAACAGTATTTTCTTTTGTGTGTGTCTTATTACAAATTGATTATTTTCTATGGTGTGGAGTCCGGTCAGATTTTATACTTAATAGTGTCTAGCCAAAATTATTAATTGGTAAGATCATATAAAACTGTTACAATGGTACTTCCGGACCAGCCTACAACTGGGGGCAACTCATCTGTTGTAGTAGTAAAGCAGTACAGGAAATGAAACTGTTAGTTGACTATCAGCACTGCATTCTGCATGTAGTCTAATGCATTGTTTGCTGGTGCAGGCTTTTATGGTCGACCATGGACGATGGAACAGAGGAAAGAGCTGTTCAGAAGGTATGATGAACTATGTGAATTATTTCAACAGACATGTTAATCACATTAACATGATAGCTTGATGATTTGAGTTGTTGAATTTCACAGGCAACAGAATTGGGGACTGAATACATACCTTTACGCACCTAAAGATGACTATAAACACAGAATGTTCTGGAGAGAGCTGTACTCAGTGGAAGAAGCAGGTGATTATTTACAGATTTTGGGATCAGCTGTTTGGGGGCAGGGAAAATTAGTAATACCTGGTTGTTTAAACTAAAGAACCATCTCCATATTCCAGTTTAAATATGGTTGAAATGTAAAAAATGATGGCTTTTGAATGTGTCATTATAGGAGCACAGTAATGCATTCAGTGAGTGATTTTTCTCCCAACTCTCTGCTAGAGCAACTTATGACTTTAATTAGTGCGGCTACGGAGCATGGGATAGAGTTCATCTATGCCATTTCCCCTGGACTGGACATCACCTTCTCCAACCAGAAAGAGGTTTCAGCACTCAAGAGAAAACTTGATCAGGTATTGCAACATTTTGAATGACATAAGTATGAACAATATGTTTGATCAATTTCTGATCGATATCTTCAAGCATTCCATGCATCTTACACACTGAGCCATCCTGTAACTTGTTAGATCTCATGCCCAACTGCCTTTATATTCCCCTCAGGTTTCTCATTTTGGCTGCAAATCATTTGCCTTACTTTTTGATGATATTGACCACAACATGTGCCCTGCTGACAAAGAGGTGTTCAGCTCCTTTGCACACGCTCAGGTTTCCATCACAAATGAAATCTATCAGTACCTTGCGGAGCCTGAAACTTTCCTCTTCTGTCCCACAGGTACTTCAATTCTGTCTTAAGTCCTTTGTGCAGTTGACACAGTTGTTTGATTTGCCTGCTTATTCATTATTTGTTTGTTTTCTTGCCTCAAAATGCAGAGTACTGTGGAACATTCTGCTACCCAAATGTCTCTCAATCCCCATACCTGCACACAGTAGGAGAGAAACTATTGCCTGGCATTGACGTGTTATGGACAGGTGAGTCTTAACACACTCTCCTGTCAGCTGACCGGCACCATTACTACTGTTAATCATGCAGTGATACATGATAGAGTTGTAGAAAACATGTCATGGGACTGTGTTTTATTTTCTGCAGGTCCCAAGGTGGTGTCCAAAGACATCACAGTGGAGTCTATTGAAGAGGTGTCAAAAATCCTGAAAAGGGCCCCAGTGATTTGGGACAACATCCATGCCAATGATTATGACCAGAAGAGGCTTTTCTTGGGTCCATACAAGGGCCGTTCCACCGAGCTCATCCCCAGGCTGAAAGGAGTGCTCACCAATCCCAACTGCGAGTTTGAGTCTAACTTTGTAGCAATCCACACTCTGGCCACCTGGTACAAGTCTAATATGAATGGGGTCCGTAAGGATGTGGTCATGAGTAAGTATGAGCCCAAAGTTTACTAATTTATAGTGTTTTGATGGGGATACAGTGTAATCTCTCTGTATAAAGTTGAACTCTGCCATGTGGTTCTGGAAGGCAGGGCATTTGCCATTTCTGTTTTTCTGATGCTTCTCCATTTTGATCTTTACCAGCGGATGGTGAAGACAGTACAGTGTCCATCCAGATCAAGTTAGAGAATGAAGGCAGTGATGAAGAACTGGAGACAGACATGCTCTACAGCCCACAGCTTGCTCTAAAACTGGCTCTCACAGAATGGCTTGGAGAATTTGGTGTGCCTCATCAATACAACAGTAAGAGCAGTCTCACTATTAAGCAGTCTAAGTTTGAATCCACTCACTGTGGACAGCCTTCAATGACAATGATTATGGAAAAAAACCCAAAACAATGCAACGGGGCTCAACTCTGTCTTTCAGGCCGACAGGTACCTCAGAGTGGTGCCAAAAGCACAGCCATTGATGTGGCATCCATGGCTGCCCCCTCGCTCTGCTCCTCCACAACAGTCACAACTGTTTTCCAGCAGCCCATCATGTCTCCAGCAATGCCACCTCTCTGTCTGGATCCACTGTCACACCCTATGGCAAAAACACCTCAGGAGGTAGAGGAGGTGAGGTCTGTTGTTACTGTCAGACAGAACTGCAGCACTTAATTGACCTGAATGAATGGTGTATGTTTCCTCTAGAAATTAGGTGCTCTATTAATGTGAATTTATTGTCATTTTGCATAACAAAACAACTAAAGTTTATATAATGACTGGTAATATTCATGCACATGCCTTAATTATTTTTCATATTTTATGATCAAGGTCTTGGCCTCACATTTATTCAGTGAGATTTTGTACAATACAGAAAATGTACTTTGTTTCTTTAATATTTCTTTATAATAGAACAAAGCATCTTTATATCAATTTTAAACGTATTTTATAATACACCTGTGAAGGTGGAGGTGGAGAAGAAGGAATCAGATGAGGAACCCATGGAAATGGTAGTTGAGAAGCAGGATGAGCCAGAGCCAGAAGCAGAAGCTGACCTAGAGGAGAAGCATGTTGGTCCTATCTTAGCTGACAAGATGGCTGAGGACCTGAGGCCCATGGATACAGACAAGGAGAGTGTGGCAGAGTCAAAGTCCCCTGAAGAGTCTCTACAGGAGGACTCTGGGAGTGATATCGCCCCTATGCAGACAGATGATCAGCTTAAACAGGTGCTGCAAACATTTGAGTGTTTTTTCCACTTGTATCTGAAAGTGAACATAGAATTCCTTACAGAGTCACATTACTGCTGGTTTGTGTCCTCAGGATGGGTTTGTGCCTGGGTCCAACGAAAAGCCCCTGTTCACAGTAGATCCTCTCACACTTGAGGACCTGGGCTTGTTGGCAGAGCTCTTCTACCTGCCTTATGAACATGGACCCAAGGCCATGCAGATGTTGAAGGAGTTCAACTGGCTACGAGCCAACAGCAGTGTAGTCAGTGTCAACTGCAAGAGAAAGGAAACAGAAAAGGTGGGCTAATACATTGAAATAAACTGATTTAAGAGTTAGGAGAAAGAAGTCTGAGAAAACTAGTTCATTATTAACAGAACTTGCTTGTGATAGTGTTGGTGGCTGAAAACAAAATGGTGGATGTGTATTACCCACTCTGCCCATCAGGTGGTGTAGTTATAATGGGAGGTGGAGCTCAGAGCAGTGTGTTCTCTGCTTCCCTCACTGAACTATCTGCCTTTTTCTCATGAAAACATTTTTACATGCCATTGTAGGAAAAGTCCAGGTTTAAAAAAAAAAAAAAATACTATCAATGATATCTGGTAGCTTAGTGGGGCACTAGAATAAAAGGGAACATTTCTTAATTTAAATAACACCTGTGCATTTCCAGCTATGACAATTCAAAATGTCTGCCTTGCAGAAAGACAATTTACAAACCACAGTGGTTTGGTGATGTCCTTTTTAAGAATACATTTTCTTTTTTTCCCAATCAATATGTTCCTGACAGGTCGCTGAATGGCAATTAAGGGCAAAAAGGTTTGAAGAGATGTGCTGCTCAGTCATCCATATGTTCACACGGCTGTCCAATTCAGCCAACCGCACCATCCTATATGACCTCTACCCTTACATCTGGGACATCAAGAGCATGATTTCTATGGTCAAGTCTTTTGTCCAGTGGTTAGGTATGTATGAGGGGAACCATAAGACTCTTACTCTTACAGAGCAGTAGCATAGCAATAGGCAAGCCTAATTTTTGTTATTCTCAAACACACAAAAATCCTATTTTTAAGATTTTTATTGTAGGACAAAATAGCTGTTTGATTAGTTAGCTGCATGGATTTTGTTGCAGTCTAATGCTATGTCATTTAATGAGGCAAATTTATAAATATTTTACACATCCTGCCTAACAGATGATAGTGTGACTAATAAAAAACCTGGAGGAATATGGCTCCTAGTGATCTCAGCCACCACCTATACAGAGTTGGAATCTGAGTAGCAGCTAAAGCCACAGTTATTGATGAGCTTAGCACAGATCAGCCAGATGCATCACCTTTAATAGTTAGGTTTCTATAAATTTGACTTGTTTCACACATGTTGATTGTTTTCTTTTTTTTCATCTGACTGAATGCTGCTTGCACTGCTGGCATCGTCCCCATTTAATCTAAGCTGCTCTATCTGGGTCTCTGTGGCAAACATCCCAGCAGGGTTACTGCTGCTTGCTGTGTATCCAGTAACGTCACTGCTGCATTCCCACACAGACACACTTGCTTCCATCTCTCTGTCTGTGGGGATGGGCACCAGGGGGAAGTCCCCACCCCTCCCTCCTCCATGCCCTAGCGCGCACGCGAGCTTGGAGAGCAAGTTGACTGACTGACTGTGGAAGGCCATTCTGGTGCATAACATGAACTTTATGAATATATGAAGTTTTGTGTTCCTGCCTCACTGAGTAGTCTCTAAATGAAGGCTTGTGTTGAACTTTAACCCTCTGAATCATTGCTCAGTTTGTATCAGGGTGGGACCCATCATCTTGTATAGGAGAGGATTTTCTTTCTCTCTTTTCCTCACTTTACCTCATCCCCACACTTTCTTTCATTCTTTCAGATGGTGCACTGTGATGCAGTTTGAGCGATATTCAGCCTTGTGATAACATCTCCATCTTTTCTGGAGTGTCCTTTTGAGTAGTCTGAAGCACCAGCATGGCCTGTAGGTTACTCCCTGTAACCAAATTTCATTCGCAGGTTTCTGTCCTGTCCGGCTGTATGGTAAAGCTGAGGACTCTAGCCCATAGTACACAGCAGGCAGCATACCCACACTGGCAAAACCACATCAAAAATTCACCGTACTATATTAATGCATCAATAAGTGATTGAAACAACAATTGTGTATCATTTAGGAAACATTCTTATTAACTGCAGTGTCAGTAAGCACCCATGTGCTGACTTCTATTGTTGCTGTTAGCAGGTTTTTACATCAGTCACCCTGTTTTCCCCCTTAAAGCTGTGCATCCGGCACTTAGTCACAACTTCCCTGGTTATTGTACTGAGAACACTTACTAATAACTATTTTCTACTGTTTTCTCCCTTCACTATGTACAGATGGAAGAATCCACAGTACAAGTTTCCACTGCTGTTGGATCGACAGTGGCCGATGTATGCACAATGCAGGCGTCGTTTCTTTTTGTTAATGTTTTAAATTGACTTTTTTGTAAAAAAAAAATTTTTTTTCTTAAACTAGATTTCTAAATTTTTAAAAAAATTGATTCGGAGGAAAGAAGCAGCCTTCCGGATGAAGTCACATTTTGCGCAGCGATTTAGCTTTGAATCCAAAGTGTTAACTCCCAAATTTTTCTCTTTGGCAGCTTCTCTCTAACTTATATTTTTGTTTCTGTCAGTAGGCCTATAGAAATGGCCCAGACCAGCCTGATGCACCTACTCATGGGAGTTTACACTTGTCTTTGAAATTCTATCCTGGCACATGATCTTCCTCCTACACAGGGATATTTTTGAATAAGTAGTTACAGTGTGTGCTCACATATGCATTGGCTGGACCATGCAAGAACAAGATTTGCATGTTTTCTGCAGAAACACGGTTGTGTTAAACCTGAATAGATAATTCAGGTTGAAGTAAACCGCTAAGCGATCATTCTCTTGGCCATTTTGGGTATTTATTTTTGAGTAAGCAAGTTTAGAGCTCCTTCCCGTGGGTGCATCTGTTTGCTGTGTTGTGTCAGCTCACCAAAGGAATTGTTTTAGGCATCAGGGTGAAGTTCTATTGTAAAGCAATGTTAGATATCCTGCCCGCGCGCTGCATTTGTCTGGTCACACGACAGGGCTTCTTGTCAACCAGGGTTTGATTAGGCCACTAAGAACCCTGTGTGCTTTAGATACATACTCTAACTTGTATTCTTTGACCCTGCAGTGTGTTTCATCTTTGGTCATTCTGTGACTTTAATAGTAAGCTGGGAGACCCTTTAAAACAGGGAACATTAATACTACCTCCCCTCTCAGTTTGTCTTCCTGGTTTGATGAGTCATGCTTCCCAGTCATGTGACAAGGCAGAGATGATGAGAATGTGACTTCACAGGGGGTTCTAAGATCAGTGGGGTGACAGCAGCAGAAGCTTATTTTCCATAGATAATATGAGTTACAGTCCTGATGGTCAGTGTAGTAGTTATGAAGTCTGTCAGCGTTTCAAATGAGCATGATGCTTAAAGTCCAAGGGGGCTGAGCTGCATTTAATTCTGTTCTCAGTTTTTGAAGATCGTGTGCTCCACTGCATGAATGAATTTAGTTCATAAGACATGCATATCATGTTATGTGGAGCAGTGTGACATTGTTGGACTGACAGTGAGAATTTAAGGTGCAGAGCTCATAAAATGTTTTATTTATAGTTTTGGGAACATTTTATATCTTGAACCTGATTCCTTCTTGTAAACATGTAAGCTTTAGTTGCTTGAGCCCCATTTTTATCAAATATTTCCTCTGAACACAATTTATTTATTCCAAGTTAGGTCCTTTTATGTTTTAATGATTAAGACAAAAATAAAAATATTTATATGCGGTTTGCTTATTAGATACATATGACCCCCTTCTCCCCACTCCCTTCATTTGTGTCAGAGAGCCCCATCCTGTGGTAACAATGTCCGCTTGGCTCTGCTTCTAACAGGGTGTCGTAGTCAGTCCTCAGCACAATTCCTTAGAGGAGACCAAGAGCCCTGGGCCTTTAGGGGAGGTCTAGCAGGAGAGTTCCAGGTATCTAATGCACCGAAATAACAGCAATCAAATGGAAAAAAAAAAAAAAGAGTGTTGTACGCAAAGAAAACCATGGTAATCTGTGTGTAGGTGCGAAGCCCTTTGGTCTGTCGAAGGTGAGCTGATTGTAATGGGTTGGGGTCCCTAACATCCTGGTTCCATCCCCTTCACTTGTTCTCCAAAGAAGTTCGAGTCCTGGTATTACTTTGGGATATTATCAACCTGTGTGAGGGGAATAGGTGACCTGAGACCCATCCTAACAAAAGGCGGTTAAAGCCAGTGTTTGGCCTGGTGTTTTTCCAACTAATTTTAGTCTCTTTCAGCAACTGCCCAAGGAGATGCTGCTCTTCCCTAGCGCACGCAGCGCAAGCGCGCATGGCTAGGTTTTATTTTCATGACATTTCATTTTTTGCAGGAAAACACAGTGCACAGTTTACCAAGCCAACCCTTTGCAAGTGCACGCACAAGCATCGCAGCGCCAGCGAGTACGCAAGCATGTTTGTAATGGGAAAACTCCATGATCAAACAAATCCGTTCAGCCAAATGTAATATCTCCATCCTTGGAGAACAGCAAGATTTACATGGCAGCTGATATGCTGTTGAATTACTTAATTAGCTCACATGTAATTAGCCTCTTTGGTTTTTTCCTGGAGTTCTCTCTGTCTTTCTGCGCCAGCATCATTTTTCTCAACAGGAGGGTCCTGCGCAGCGAAATATTGCGATGCATTACAAATGGGAAAGGAGCATCTCCTTCAGCTAGTAAAACCTTAGTCAGACCAAAACACCGCTTTTATTGTATTAGATTTCAAAAAGCAGCTGTGTGCTTGTGTTCTGTTCCTTAAAATGAGAAAAATGTGGTTTGCTCTCGTTGTCCACTGTCAGATCAACAACAAATTTTCATATTTTTTTAATAATATTGGTCATTCCAAAGCACTTTGCTCTCTGTAGTTATTTTTGGTTTGATAGTGGTGCAGCCGTAGCAAATACACTGTGAGGCAGTCAGCCAAAGCAACAAACCACCTGGTCTCAGTGAAACTAAACCTGTTTCTTTTGATACCCACAGAGATTGTTGCCAATAGATGGGGCAAACGATCTTTTCTACCAGCCTCCACCTTCACTGCCAACCTCCAAAATCTATACCATAAGGCCGTACTTTCCCAAAGATGAGGTAAGATTTTGTTGGCATACTTAGTTGTATCCTTGTGCACCTTATTTTTACTAGAACTGCAGTATTTGTCCTTGAGTACCAACAGATCCCAGCCACTAATAATGCTGGTAACAAAAATAACTTTGGCCAGGAGAACTGTCCCAGTATAAGATGGGAATGGTTTGTGCCACAATGCCATGTCCAGCTGCTTAGTACATGAGCGAATATACTGTATGTGCTGAATATAAAGGTAACTTCGGATTGTATGTTTCCAAAACGTCTGGAAGCACATTGAGTTTCTTTTTGGTATTTTATGGGCTTGGCTGTGGCTGTTGTCTGTTTTGAAATTGTAATCCACAACACTGCTCTTTGTTTTTCAGGGTGCGGTTTATAAAATCTGTAAAGAAATGTACTGTGAAGGAATGGAGGATGCACCTTTCTCTGATGATGACCCTGACCTCATAGGAGACAGGTAAAATCTGTTTTATTTTTTTATTTTTCTTTACAGTCAGTGCAGACTACAGCCTGTACTGTGATTTTTACCTGTACTGCAAATCAAAATGCTGGCAAAAAAACCCTTAATGTTTGTTCACAGGTTAGTAGGAGGTCTCCTGACTCTGAGCTCAGACTATGGGTTTGTGTTAGAGGATGATGAAGGGATCTGCGGTTATGCTCTTGGCACTGTGGATGTCAAGCCCTTCATCAAGAAATGCAAACTGAACTGGATTCCTTTCATGCAAGAGAAATACCACAAACCTGACAGCCAGAAGGACCTTACTGAGGCTGAGGTAGGATCTTAATCCATCTCTCATTAATCTCTATATCAGGTGGCACATAATTGTCTCCTGTTGTTGAATGTTACTTTACCATCTCTGTCAATTGTCCCTGTAGAAGATGATGTTGAGTTTCCATGAAGAGGAGGAAGGTCTTCCAGACTCTTTCCTCTCCAACTTTCCCTCTCTCATCAAGGTTGACATTCACGCCAAGGTCACTGACCCCAGTGTAGCCAAAAGCATGATGGGATGTCTTCTGTCTTCTCTTAAGGCCAACGGTAGGTGGCAGCTTTCTTCAGTTATGACAGCAGTGTACTTGTGCCACTTCATCTGTGTTTGTAAAGATGCTTTTTTTTCTTCCAACTCTATACACAATGCCTAGAATGCTTGGACAAAAATTGCAAGATAATATCCCCATATGATCCTCCACACACCAAAGTATGACCTGCATCCAAGTAATATTCCAGATCTGCTGATCCAGAATGTTTAGATTTAACAGGGCTTGCTGAAAGCAAATAATGCTACAGACATGCAACTAACACCAAACTGTAGCTGAAACTCTGCTGACTCAGTACAGGGTCTGCAGGTTTGGCGTATTTTCAACAGTTGCTGTGTCTGGAATAAAAACGCCATTAGTGAAATATTGTTTTTCTTGAATAGCCTTCAAGCTAATAATATCAGTTTGATTCCAAGTGCTAGGAGTAGGTTTTTATAGTCATTCATAGTCATAGTCTAGTCATTACCTACATTTGTCTTTCACTTGCAGGGTCCCATGGTGCATTCTGTAAGGTTCGTCAGACTGACAAGAGAATGTTGGAGTTCTATAGTAAGCTGGGGTGCTTTGAAGTGGCCAAAATGGAGGGCTTTCCCAAAGACATCATCATTATGGGACGCAGCCTATGAAGAGTTGTCCTGCTACAAAAAAAGACAGCAAGTCAACACGGCTTAAACATGTTTCCTACCTTCATAAGAATAACTTCCACGATGATTTGATACTAAGTTACCATCTGGGCTAGCTCTGGGATCTGTGTACGGAAGCACAACAGCCGCACCCACAGTTGCCCTATGCTGCCCTTAGATGATATGGCTCTGTTGGATTTAGCAGATCTGAAGCTAAAAGGCCAAGGTGAGATCTGTAGTCAGTTCATTTGAGCCATTGAGTGGCACTTCAGCAATGATTTCTGGGGTCCCCACTACTCGTATACCTCCAGGAGGCAGGAAATGATAACTCCATAAACTTCTTTTGTTTTATTTATTTAATCCAGTAGCTGTTAACGTGGATATTGCCCACATGCCCAAACACAATGTGTCTGTACATGAATACATGAAATGAGGGCAGCCTCTATCTCAAGTAGTCTTACAACCCCCCAATTCTGCTTTCTCTGCACTGAGAAATAACACCGCTGTTGACATACAGTATGTAGGACACCTTTATACAGGATGCAAGGGCCTGTGTGACAGTTTGCCTTTCATCAGCACATCATGGAATTTCCAACTACTCCACAACTAACTTGGAGAAAGGGGCCTTTCAAGTGGCATGTTTCTAACAAAAAGTGATTTGAAATACTGAGTCTGTACCAATGGAGGATGGGAAACTGTAGCTTTTGGGGTTTGTGAAATCCTCTAAAAAGATTATCACAGGCCAGCACATTTGCTATAAATCTTTGTTGAGGCTATTAAAGGCTCGGCCAGGGCATTTTCTGAAATTCTGCTCAAATATTATTGTTCACTAGGAAAGCAATAGAAAAGTTTCCCAAGGGTTACTAATATGGTTGTCGGCCTATTTCTGCTTAATGCTTTGCTTTTGACCGTTCTGTATTTTTGCAATTCAGCCATTGGTTTTCTTACTTCCCCTTTTAGCTCTTGCCTTTTGGATTATATACCAGGAATAGGGCGGTTTTGGACATTAGCTTTGTTTTTACTCAAATTCCACAGATGTGGCCTGATAGGTCCTAATATTGCTCTACCAAACCCCAAACTCCAGCACAGAAATCCGTTAGTAGATCTAAGATGACTGACAGAAATATCTCTGTCAGAGAAACCACAGACTGCCTAGGTAAGTTCTGTAAACTGATATATTTACAAAATGTTATGGAAATGTAAAGTTTTTTTTTTGTATGTTTATATAAGTATTTAAAATGATGATGACTGATACACAGTTCCTCTTGGAAATAATGAAAATCACAGTCAACATTTGCTAAATTGTGATACCTAGTGGGACCAAAATCTTGATTCTGATCAGCTATAGTAAAAGGTTTTTGGCATTAATTCACATTGAAATTATATGAGGTAAAATTATAAAAGAACCCAAAAAATATAGAAGTATTAACCTCTAGATCTCTTAAGGCTGCTCAGTTCTTTGTAACCACTAATTTAAAACACGCTGTGCTTAAAGGTCACTGGTAATAATGACTAATCCGTTTACATCCTCCCTGCTTTGTTTCAACAATGCACAAATGTCTCTAATGTCCTCTCCAGTGGGCCTTGGTGAGCACTGTAAGAATCGCAGAGGTGGTGAAATCCTGTCACCACACTTGGTACTGGCTCCCACACTGATGAACTGTAGTTAAGGGGGTTTGGAGCACAAATTCCTAGGCCTTTTAGTATATTCATTGAATGTTTTATATTCTAATGCATTTCTCATCTGTTTTTGTAAATCTACATAGCTGATTACAAAGGCACTTTGACCATAGACTTTATGTTCTGGTGGTTACATGAGGATCATCTCTTTTTTTTTTTTAGTAGCTATCTGTCAATGTGATGTTTTGATACTGTGTACATTCATAATGTGCATGAGGCGTATTGGATGTGGTGTGGCAGTTGTTAGAATAAACATCTTTTGCTGCATAGGGGAAGAAGCATGTCATTCACCTCTGTGAGCATACTGTAGTATGTAGACAGTTTGTTAATGCTGCCAATCAAAGTGTTATTTTGTATATTTTTACTAAAACTGTGGATAGTGTCCTGTTTCTTTAAGGAAGGCAAAATGCTGCCCTCATTATAATGCCCTGTCCTGTACAGCCGTCCTACCTGCCTGTGTTTTCAGCAAGGTGTGAAGCTGCCCACCAACAGATTAGCTGTGCATCTTCAGAAACAACAGCAGACTCTTTACACGTTTTAAATAGTTTATTTTGCAGTTTGTTGACACTCGAGCTTCATCGTCTGTGCTGTAGGCTGTGATTGAGAGAAACGGTTTGTACATTTTGATTTTGAGGGTGTAATATAAGTGACAGTTTACCAGTGTAAAATTGTAAGATGCATAAAATTAAAAACTAATAAATCATAAGTTGTTTTTGTCCTTTGTTTTGTACAGATCATTCTGTGATTAATTCACAGGTTGTTTTAGTGTCTCTGCCCTGAAAGGTTTTCTGATTTTTGTTTGGATAAATACAATAAAGGTTATGTCTGTATATGGCACTGATAGCAAAGGTGATTCCTGGTTTAATAACCCTCTTAGGCTTAATGCAAGCATTATTCCGTTGTTCCTGAAACAACGTTTTGAATAATAGATAATCGTTTTAAACGTTGTAACCTCACGTTATTCATGTATTGGGTGGAATAATTCATGAAAGATTTATTTTTTTTTTTTTTATGTCAGTGTTCTTGGGCCAAAAAGGTGACTTTCAGTTTCAATCGTTTTCTGTTAAAATATATTATTTGATCCCCATACCAGCCACACAACACATCATTAGAAAGACATTTAAAAAACGGTTTAAACTGGTCATTGCTGAATTTTTAAAAAAAAAAAAAAAAAAAAAAAACTTAAAAAACCCGGAGCCACGGGCGCACAGTGATGACGTATCACGCATGCTAGTACTGTGTGGCGAGCTTGTTATTTTTCGTGGAGGGCTCATTTGGCAAAAGTGTTGATCGTAAATCCAGAATTTAGAATTTCGATAAAATGGCTTTTCACGACGATGAAGCTGTGCATCTCGGACCACCTGGTCAATCAAAGTTGGAGAGCTTCCTGTTCAGTAAGAACAATTTAAATACAGTCTGTCAAAGCGGCTCAGTTGGCGCACACGTGGGTTTTCTCTGTGGTGTTCCCTCGGCGAAAAACTACCTGGATATTTCGAAAACCGCTTTACCTTTTCTCAGCGATTAGCAAATGCACTGAATTGTATCACTTATAAGAAGCCGCAAAAATAATAGTCCTGGTTTGGTGTTTCTTCTAGGCTGCGAGTTATCCTCTAAAGTACCCTTCTACACTTTCCAAGAAGATGAAGATGAAGATGAGGACCTGGAGCACTTTGTTGAACTCAGAACAGTATGTACAATTAGAGCAGAGATATGGTATCATCACATTACCAGGAATATACAGGTCTTTGCTCATTTAATGCAGTCTTTACAGTATTAAGTCTTGTATCTCTGTTATATCCAACAGTCAAATTATAAATTGATCTGGCTACCAACAGGACGAATGAACATGACCCAAACCAATTTGTCTTTCCTCCAGGTTTGTCTGGGTCAAGGTGCCAAGGACGAGAGCAATGTGGTGGAGGTAACAGCCATGAACCACCAAGGAAAGACTACATCAGTGCCCATTGCCAATCTTCACATCAGCTGTCTGCCTATGGTACTGTATAATGTAGTGAATTAAAAAAAAAAAATCTACAGAAGGACAGATTTATCACACAGTAGAGGCTGAAGCGTAATATCTTTACTTGTTCTCTTTTGTCCTTAGGTGAGTCTGGGAGAGTTTGAGCTGAAAGCCCCAGTGACCATCAGACTCAAAGCTGGGACAGGACCAGTTATTGTCAGTGGGCTGCACCTTATTGGTAACCCTCGACTTTCTCTTTACTTAAAGTTACATTAATGAACACCTCGCTCTAATTTTTGACAATTTAGAAACATTCTTGTTGAACGTGATATGTCAGGAACATCCTTAAGGAAATTTCCTCAAATTTGGCACAAGTATCCAGTTAGATTCAATGAATTAATTTGATTTTGGTGGTCAAAGGTCAGTGCCCTCAGTCCCATTTCCATTCATTTTGACTGGCTGGCGGAGGCATACAACCATGAAGCAGTCATTCTAGTTAAAGGTGCATTCACTAAGATTTAACAAAAAAAATTCCAGTGTAAATGGGACAAGATGTGGTGTTTCTCTGCTGTACTACCCCCATTTCTATTGTTATTCCAACTTTTCTGTGTTGTCTAAATTTGGTCCATAAATTAGCCCCATCTGTCACCTAGAAAATGTTATAAGAAGGGTCTTTCAAATCACCAGTAGTCATTTCAAACTGCCAGATAAGGGAAACGTATGCTCTGACAAAAGTTAAAATTAGTGGCTGCCAGACAGGAGGTCACGTTCTTTTGCACAGAGTGGAACAGAGAATGAGCAAAACCCAGGGTTAACATGGCTTTTTCAGATGGGGTGTGTTAAAAGCAGCCAAAGGACTCCTATTTGATTCAGATGTGGAATTCTTCCTTTTGGATGTGTTAGGATCTTTGACAAATTTAATGACCTAGCATGGTCATAATATTACCTTAGTATTGAATTAATAGATTCTAATGTCAGAGTAGTGTGAGCCCTGTGTAATATTAATGCCCTGTGTGACATTAGCAGTAACTGGAGCATTCTACTAGATCACCAGATTTACTTGTTAGTCTGCTAATGCAGTTGTTCAGAGTCTCACTAGATTCTAGTTGCTGAAAAGAAACTGAGCAGAGTAGCTTTGATGTCAGACATAAAGCTTCTCAAATGTGATTTGCTAGATTTCTTTGATTAACTTGGATTAACTTAACTTTGGCCTGCTGGTTGAACATTTGGTGATTTTGAATATATCAGTTTGAGTTTGGGAAATTGTTAGGGGGAGTTTTTCTCACAATGACATAATATTAGAATTGTTGGACTACAATCCAATGAAATTGGAGTTCTTTAGGTTCTGAAATACTTTTTCTTTATTCAGGTTTTATTGAATTTGACCCAGCGACAGGAGAAGCCACATATATCTTTGGACAGTAAAATGTCAAATTGCTTTCTAAATGAAATCCAAGACCTTTGACACTTTGGATATGTGCTTCAATTCTAAATATTAAAAGTAGACAACTTTTTTTTTTTCAAAAATCTGTGAAATATGAATACTGCAGGGAGCAGATTGTTGTAATGGGTGTGTGGCTGCATATTACTGACTGTGCATGAGGTCAGTTGAGAAGGCAGATTAAACAAAGCAACCTTTCTGACCTTACATGTCAGACCAGAACTCAAATTTAAAACAGTGATTTCACATTGTCTTCTGTCTTGTGCAGCCTCACAGGGGGAAGACTCTGATCTGTCTGAGAATGATGATGAGGAGGACTTTTCTGATGATGATGAGGAAGAGGATGAGGAAGAGGAAGAGATCCCCCCCATTAAACCAGCAAAGAAGAAACAGAAGCAGTAGATGGGGAGGTCACTGATGAGTTTTTTTTGTTTTGGAATGGACTGAACAGCACAGTGCCCTCACCTCTCCACTTGTCGGTGTCTCACAGCGAGTTCTCAGTCTTAGCAGTGTCTTTAACTGCACCCAAGACATTCACTCATAGAACTGTTTTTGCTAATCAGTGCAACCTAGTGTTTTGTATGATGCAGTCACCACTGACAAGTGGTGAAAAACATTTCTTTTACTGCAGTTTGAAGATACTGTGTGCAGTTTAGGACTGTGGTCCCAACTAAATGGCGCAGTCAAGATGAATTATTGACAATTTATTAAATGTTTCTCAAGTAAGTATCTTCATTTCCAGGTGTTTGTACTTCTAAAATGCTGTTTTTCTATGTGATGTCAATCATAATGTGAAGATTTTGTACTTCTACTGAATGTGTCAAGAAAACATTTAACATTTTATTTACCATTTGATTTCATATTAATAAAACTGTCATTTTTAGGCTTTTGCATTAAAATACACACATTTTATGTGTCTACACAGTCAGTTAAGTTTAGTTTCTTCGAAGAACACAACAAAATGTAGCTAATCTGGCTGTGGTTTCATTAAATTAGTTTCACCTAGTGGCCCGGCAGTAAAAGCAGCCAACGCAGTCAAAACAATAAATAGAGAAATCTCCTCAGTAAAATCATCACAGCTGTTCTGTCTTACCAGCATTGGATTCTTCATTGCAGTGGCTGGAAGGTGACACTTAACGAAGGGATGTCAGTTAAAGCTTCACACAGGCATGTGGTCGTATCAGGTTACAGTCTGTAGATATTATGAGCCTGTCTGCACTGTACAAACATCCTCATGTGTAAACATCATCTTTGCAAGGCAGCTATAAACTAAGTCACCGTAGTACATTGTACAACTGGTTCATCTGATTGTCAGAGACTGGGTTGTTGTCAGAGCCATTCCAGTGTGTTTCATTAGAGCCCATAGACCAAATTAATTACAAAGATCTTCCTTGTCACATATACTGCACATCTGAAAGTGTTTCTTAGCTGCATAATAAAAGATTTACCTGGAGAGTAACTGTCTACTGGCAAATAGGCAATAAACCACATCGAACATTTTGCCCATCTCAGCTGCTGTTTAACATATTAGTTAGTGTGTGGGAAGAGTGCAGGCAGCTTGATAAGTTAAAACATTTTAAACTCAACACTACCTTTCTCAGTTGACAAATGGCAGCACACTGTATGCTGCTTTAACCAGAGAGATTGGCCAAAAACAAAACAAAACTCAGTTTATCTGAGGAAATAATGATGGAAAATACATGAAAATAATCATAAACACAGTCTTATATATATATATATTTATAGTCCAATTTATACTTCTCCCATCTGTATTGATGGGCAGCATGACTGTGGCAAAAGTGGGGGAGAGGGAGGTACAGAAGCATGCTGAGCATGAGAGAGGGCAACATGTGCTGACAGCTTAATCATGCCAGGTATTGCCACGGTAACCAGAGAAATGCCCACCTGTGTGGTGTCCTTGATGGCAGCTTTCTGTTAACAATGAGAGAGGACTGAGGCGATGGCACGGGGGAAGCTTAGATGAATAATTTTGCATTGTTAGAAGGTTATATTCTAGCTCCCACCCTTCGGTGTCCCAGTTGGTTGCTGTTGCTGTGATTGTGATGCCATCTGTATAGCTATGAATGGAAGGTGATGACAGGATGTTAGGAAGCAACACCAGTAATATCCTCAGGTGACAAAACATCAGCTGCTCTAGATTGTGACTGTGTTTTCCCAGATCATGAGAATATCGCCACTCTGCAGTGGTAGCAGGAAGTAGAGTCATTGAATTATACATCACAAAAGGGGGGAGAAAGGATCGTATGACAGATAGCAAATCTAACAGTCCTCTAAGTAAGTTAATGTCACCTTGACTCTGAGCAGGTGCTGCTTCTTCTTATTTTCTGACCCATAAACCACATCAAACTGGTGCTCGCTGAGTGGGAGTTTTGTGAACCTTTACACTGCTTTTATTGGGTATAAGGGCTTTATGGTTGTGGTGCATTAATTTCTCACCTTCATGTAAAGGTTACAGATGTATCCAGAGCAATGATTATGTCTGTAGCACAAGCAAAAATTTGCCCGTTAACTCAGAAATGTACTCAAAATAAGGCATCAGCACCAGTGGAAGTAGTATCAGCTTTGTTTTTGCTCTGCACATAATTTAGCTTTGCTGTAGATTTGAGCCCCTTTTGTTTATATGCAATGTAAACATATATTTTGTTGTTAATACTTTGAATCGTATGCTCCTCTGTCACATACTTATGTGCTCTTCCTTGTTTTGATTTTGTCATTTTAGTTGGGCCGACTCGGGGCCTTTCTGTGTGGAGTTTCCCTGCTCTCCCTGTGCAAGTGTGGGACTGGAAATTTTGTCTAACTGCTTCTTCTGAGGACATTCAGACTTTCTGTTTCAGTTACTGTCAGTTTTGTCTGTTACAAAAGCTGCTCAATATGGCAGACAATAGAAGCAGAAGTAGCATCAATAAAGGGAATAATTATAAGCTCTAAATTATTCTTATTCTTTGTTTCCACCTGTGACACCTGCATGTGTCGCTCCATTGTAGCTAAAGGTTTCTACAGCAGTTGCAGCACCCCGCTTTGTGTTCTTACTCTAAAACTGATAAAGCTGTTCTCCATTGAGGGATTCTGAAAACCCTTTACTTCTGATCTAGAGTGCCTGTCATATTTATATATACAAACGTGTTCCCACTAGTATAGCTCACCTGCACACACCCTTCCTGTCTGTGCTTATTTCTCTTAGACTACATAATGCTGCCCTTCAGCTGAAGCTCAACAGGGGGTTGGTTTATGTCACAGTGATTTCCACAAGCAAGGAAGGAATCGGATCTTTGTGTTTGATGTTTGTTGTGCTCTGTTTAAGTGTGTGTGTTTGTGTTGAATTATAATTTTTGGCACAGATTTCAAAGCCCTTATCTGATCAAGGTTAGCATTCTGCATGTTTGATGAATCCCTGCTCTGTATGCATTCAGCTGTATATGTCCGTGTTCCCGTATGTTACTGGGAGGGCTGCTATGACTGTGTGTGTCCAGGGTAATAGAACCAATAGCCAGTCACATACTGAAATATGCACTGCTGCCATGTCAGCCACCTTCTTTCATCCACTGCTGAGCTGATGGAATGGTTACACAAGCTGCAACCTGTATAAATGTACTGAGACTATGTCAGTAACATTTATCAAAGGCTTGAGTTACAGAAGGAAACTCCACCCTCAGATACTTTTCAGTTGCTATATCACCGGTCTGTGATATACAGTTCATTCCAGGAGTTATCTAATCTCAGCGCAAAATGGTGATTCTACAAAGCCCCTTTCTTTAATTCTGAGTGACTGTGACTAGAATCGGGGGTGGTTTAAGATGTTTTTTGTCTTTAAGACATAACAGTTGTCTGTAAAACATCCTCTTCCCTATAAAACATCCTCTTTTGGGTTGAGATGCAGTGGATCTGTGGCTAGGTTGCAAATATTGCAGAACTATTAGGTGCAATCATCTGTGACAGTATTAACATTTAATCAAAAGTAAATATACTCAGAGAGGTATTATAATAATATAATTAATGCTGGGCAAGAATGTGTGTGTGTGAAAGAAACAGAGAGATAGTACCTCTAGCCACTGGCTAATGCAGTCAAACAACAGCTGCACAACAGCTGACAGTTCCCCTTGTGCTGAACACACAGACACACACACACACACATACACACCACACACGACAGCATCACAGCCTGCTGCAGGCAGGGGTGTGTTACACTCATAGAGCTCCAATGCATCTACTACAACAGAGCACAGCTGTCAAGTGCATCACCCTTTACCCTATATGTAACCTCACTGAGCACACACACACACTCTGAGCCTACTTCTACACATTATGAGGAAGAGCACACTATCTGGGTGATTGTGCACCGACACCTGAGCACACATTTGCTCACAACAGGATTCGAGTCACACCAAGCCTGGGCACGAGGTAGCACAAACCAAACACACAGTTTTCAAGCTTAATGTTTGTGCTAATGCTAAGATCAATATTAGACTGTAATGACTGGGTATTCAAAAATATTGCTTTGGAAATCCTGGAAGCTTTTTTCAAATTAAAATAAGACAAAATCCTGACTTTAACACTTAAATCCATAAACTGATGCTTTCACAATTTAAAGTCAGTGAATAGGATATAAATACACAGCTATAAATAAAATTTGGATTAAATTAATGCCAGCTTCTTCAGAAACCCTTCTGTATGTTTTATTAATAACACACACTGACGAAACAGTGCACAAGCAGAATGGTAACAACCTTACACACGCATGTGCGTACGCACTAAATGTCAGATTGATGCCGCACTAACTAAACCTCGGGATTCATGAGCTTGAATTTAAATAAAGCCAAAACAGACAAAAAGAGAAAAGGGAGAATGCAACAAAAGGGCAGAACACTTTATAAACCATAAATAAGTGATGTGCCTCACTTGCTCTTTAGTTCCCCCCCCACAACCATTCTTCTGCCCTCTATCTCCCCATCTCACTGGGCAGAAGAGGGGCTGATGAAAGGGGTATGAGTGACAGATAAGTAGATGACTACACTGTCCCAGCCCTCATTAAAACGCTGTGCTTGTATCATCTGCCACTCTAAACCTCCTCCTGCTCCTCCGCATTGAGCCCCGGCAAATGATACCCCGGGAGAGGAACAGAGAGGAGAGGGGAGGGAGGTGCTGCTCATCAGTTATTCCTGTTCTCTGACCCAACTTGACAACAAGCTTCAATAATGACACAAATAGGGATGAGAGAGAAATTTTGCCAAAGACCGGGGCATTGAAAAGGAGCTGTTCTAAATTGGTAGATAATGGTCCTAGTGTGGCCCGGGCAGTGTCCAAACCTCCACAGTGTTCTGAGATTCCTCCGAATACAGTAGAAACATGTGGTCATCCAGCGTCTTCATCTTCCCATCAGCAGTGTATGAGTCGCAGGGTGGGATGCACTGCAAGATGGCTATTTCAAAACTCTATTTCAGCTGTAACCCACTGAGTCAAGCTCTAAAACCTCTTAAATCCAAACAAGTCAAAGAATGTGCATGTCAGTACAAACAGACCTCAAACTATAGTCTAACAATGTTTAAAATAACATGGAACTCAGTTTAACATTAAAAACCCACAAAATTACACAGAGTTTTGTAAACCAAAGACTGAAAGACAACCACAAGTAATTTAATATGCTTGTTTATTCAGTACTCCACTGATTCTGGTTTATTCATAATCTTGTAGAAAAACTCATGAAAAACCTTACAAGCATTTGCAGTCCAGTGTTTTACAGCCACATGGACTTTGGAGTGCATGGAGAGGCTCCCTGGATGCGTTCAGCCACAAACAGGAAATTATCAAGAGCTATAACTTGCAAGTAAAATAAGAGTGTTAACAGTCTTTTTTAGGCACTGGAGTCTCTGGAGTCCAACATCAGGACTCAGGATATGTTGTTTCTTTAGTTCACTGCTTAAATTGATTTAAGACTACATTATTCACATTAGCGCTTCCAGTTGAATTGAAACAGAAAATAAATAAAAACACAAGCACTGTGTTTTCAGATTACAGCATTACTGCTCTTGCTGTGATTGAGAAAGTAAGGAGGGCTACCAACGGTAGCAGGACATGGTTTCAAGTAAATTACATTAGCATCAAGGTGTGCTGGAGACACAAGCTGACAACTTATCTCAGAACCAAAATAGAAACAAACAAAAGGCAAACAGGTACATTCTGATGCCAACTGTCATTGAACCAAATGGGACAAACTGTTTTTCACTTGATCCCATAATGCTTGTTTGAAGGCAGGCCGAACAACCCGTAGTACTCATGGTGCCTGGCTGCCTGTGAGGCTTCCATCAGTGCCCTTGCAGGAAACTGCTGCAGTGGTTGGTTTGCAGGTAGCGGAGCATGTGAGGGAAACTCCTGAGAGGTCATGGAGGGGTAGGAGTCTGGCACTGGGTATGGAGGCTGGGCATGAGCAGCGGAGGCCCTGGAGCAGTAGCAGTTATTCAGAGTGCACATCAGTACCTTTCTCCCTTCGTACATGGCTTGTTGTGAGGCACCTCCACTGGCGAAGTGGGAAGTGGGGAATAAGGTCCCTGAGTGATGGCTAGAGCTGGACCCTGATCCCAGACCCACCGTGTGATGGGCTGAAGCATCAAGGAGCTGACTATGGGCAGGGCCAGTGTGAGGATTCTGGGAAAAGCCTTCAGTGGAGTACACAGATGAAGCATGATGGGTCTGGTCAGACAGGAAGGATTTTTTGTTGCTGTAGAGCAATGACTGAGGATCCAAGGTGGCTGAGTTTTCTGTGTTACTCTCCAGGAAGGCATTGCCATATTTCCTCTTCTGTAGTCCTGAACTAGTCCCCATATGGGAGCCAGAAGAGCCACTGTGAGACTGGACAATCTGAAGGATTAGCGCCTCATTGAATGGCTCTAAAAGGTGGCAGGGCAGAAAGAGATGTTAGTTAAACTTGAACCAGATTATATCCCAGGAACTTAAATCTTTTACAATCCACTTTCCCCACCTTCCAGTATTTTTTGCAGATTCTTCTCTCTTGACAAGAGCTCCGATACCAAATGATGAGAGCTGAGCTGGCCCACTCTGAGTGGAGGGATGGCAGTACTCAGGTGTGAGTTTGACCTAAAAAAAACAACAAAAAAAATAAAACCAGATGCAAGTTGTAAGTAAGTTGTTTGCAGCCCCGTTTCAGACACAGTCTCTGCTTACATTCGATTTTTGTCAGCTAACAAATACCTTCTGTGCAACAAAGAATGTGCGTCTCCTTTGAGCATGTAAATTTAGGTAGGATCATACAAATAATGGGACTAGCAAGTGTGGCTGGATGCATAGTCCCCTAAACTACAAAAAGCTCTCTTGATTTGGAAAGGCTCATTTGCAAGGTGAGTGGTTTAAGCACAAACTGATTAGAGAAACTCAAAACTTGATCACCTAACATATAATAAATACAATCATGCAGTGTAAAGTGAAATAGATGGCAAGTAACAGTGTTTACCTGTCTATTAGCAGCTGGTACGGTTTTGTGTTCTGGAAGAAAGAAAAAAACAACAACAATAAGACAAAAGTCATTTAGACTAAAAGTAACAGCTAAGCATACAGAGACAATAGTTCTGCTGTGGGCAACGTGCAGATTGTGTACATACAGGCGTGCATCAGTATTTTGTGTGTGACGATGCTTTTTTGTTTTCTTTAAAATCCAACTTTTGATTCAGTAGAAACAAACGCTGTAAACCATTTTCTGCTGGTTTCTATATTGCATGCGTTTGTGTAGCCGCACAGACACAAATGCATGTGTGAGAAATACAAAGAAGTGCAGATTTGTACCTTCATGAAGTTAATGCTGTCTGCTCTTTGGAAGAACATGTGTACCGAGCTCAGGAGTTTCTCCGCTTCCTGGCGCCTCTCATTAAGTTGCACAACCTGCTGGGAGTTCTTCCTCGCATATATGGTGTAAGTGCCATCTAGCATCTGCATGGTTTCAGCCTGGTTTGCTTCTAACAGCGCATGCATCCTCTGATACTGGTCTCTCACGTGCTCCTTCAGTTCAGACACTGCATACTGTAGCGCAAGTACAGGTTGGAGATGAGCTGATTTACAAACATAATTATGCATTTGCTTTCTGTTGTAAAATGCATTCACACATATACAAATATATTTTAGATGCCAAATTTAACTAGCCAGCAATGGAGCGTGCTACTCAGCCTGTACGTCGCCTTTTGTGGCCCTGGATGAGCTTTTGTCATGTCTCAGCAAAAATCTCAAGGGTCGTCACTTTGGAGTTCATCAAGTCTGGCCATTCGTTCTTTGATCAGTCTCTTGGAAGTTCTCCAAAAATGCAGTATTAAATTGCTAAAGAACCAATTCTAACAAGCAACTTTGCATTTAACAACCGTTCCTGCAATCTCTTTGCCTTAGCATCTAAATACATCAATTATAAGCACACAAGTAAAAAAAAAGAATAGATGATTTAATAGCTGCTGTCATATTCAGTTGCTGTACATTTTTTTGTTTTTCTTGATTTTGTGGAATATATGCTTTTCTTGTTCACAACTACAGCAGGAAAGTCATTTGTAAAATGCATTTTCCACTCCAATGAGATAAATTACATTTTCCTACAGTGAACAGAGGTACAGAGCCATTTCATTACAGCACAGTGTGGAAAAAAATTAAAGCCACATAATGACAAAGAACTAATGTACCAGTGCCGACAATGTTCAGAATTGTGTCTCTGTAAGCATATGTGATGTGTCTTACTGTACCTTCATCAGTGTCTTGTCTGAGTCCAGCTTGGTGAGCTGCTCATCGATGTTCTGGACACGACCCTCCAGTCTCTCTTGCTGCCTCATTAGCATGGCCTATGGGGAGATGACATACAAGAGATGAATCACAACAAGATACACTGAAAATAGAATATACATGTACTGAAACTTCCTTACAACTCAGGCCGCTGCTGTGACCTCAGCAAACTTGGCTGCTATTCATGAGTCACTAAGACAACCTCCTCCACAGTCCTGATTAGACAGAGGAAACAACAGCTGCCAGCGACAACCACATGCATTTATCCATTAGGAGAGAACCAATAAATGCGCACACAATTGCATAAATCACTCTCTGATTGCTTCTATGTTTATGAGGGACCCTGCTACATCAATTTATGTCCATTGTTGAGACCATCCCACTTCCTCTGTGGGCTGAATCAGAGTGCAGAAAAAGAGCCAAAGACCAGTACAAGTACGGATGAAGATAATCCTTCCACACTGACTGCAGGAGATGGAAATCAAGCTGCAGTCACAAGGCTGACAGCTTACTAGGAACAGGGGAGGGCAGGTATGCTTTTTAATTAACTGTTTCTGCATGGGAAAGGCACCATGCCCAAATAAGAGAAACCCTGCTGTCATGGCAACAAAGCCTTGTATATGTATTAATATGTGAAAGATAATGTGTAGGCTATGTGAGGAAACAGGAGGGAGCAAAAAGCGGGGGTGTTTCACTACCCCTTTCTGCTTCTCATTTTGCCCACATGCATTGCTCCCATTGTTTGCATTAACCTCTGTGTCAGTAACAGATTGTCATGTCTGTGTGCATAACGCTGGGGTCTGCTCGCTTCCTCTGCATGAGTGTGCATGGGGGATAAAGGGAACGGGAGAAAAGTCAAAGTGCTGTGGGGCTCTGCTTGTACATGCCAAGAATGGACAAAGAAAGTAAGAAAGCCATATAAAAAGTGAAAACAGAGGAAAAAGTTGAAGCAAAGAAAAGAGATAAGGAGAATAGTGAAATTCCCATGGTCTCTGCTGAGCGGGTTTCATGGTATCTACATACGTGGTAGCACAGCCGCAGCCCCATCAGCTGCTTACACTGCCCAAGAAGTCAACAACTGACTGACTAATATGCCACCGTGAACACTTCCAAAAGCCAAGCCCACTCTTTACTTGTTTGTATGTTCTGTAAAACTGTCCTTTTTAATGACAAAGACTGCTGGTAATTTTGTCACAAGGGAAGCAGCTGACGTGTCTCCTCCAGTTCATGTTTCACAGTTTAAGGAAACATAGTTTGACATGCACTTTGGACTATTGATGCACTGACAAGAGCAAGACTACACAAACAACAGTACTCTTAAAGCAGCATGAATTAATTTTTTGGGGCCACTTGGGGAAAGATGAACAACCTGTAAACACAACACAGGCTCCAGTATTATCACCACTGTGGACGAATGTGTTAGCAAACAGTAGCTTAATGACACAAGCAGCAGACCCAGAGCCACATTAGGATTCATTTGAAGTCTGACCAAGTCCAATATTCACTCTCCTTCCAGCTCTGTTTTGGTCTCCACCAAAACCAGTCTGGCGTCTTAGCAGCTAAACAGTCCTCAGTACTAGCTAGCCTCTAGGTTTGTTGCTAGCTATTTAATGCTAACTAGGCACAACCTGTCAGTGTGGTATTTGATGCTGAAAGTTGACCAAACTCTCTCACAAATGCATTTTACTGTACACTTTGTGATACTGAGGCTTACACAGTGTGTGCACGAGACCAACCTGAGCCAAAAATCATAGCTTTTGTGCAGCTAAAGAGGTGGTGGCCTGTTCTCAAGACAGAATTGAAATGTCACATTTTCACATCTTCTCACAAGAGACAGAATTCATGCTGAAAATCAGCCGTGTCACACGCTCACTACGCATCACACACCTGCACTACAGGTTTCTTATTCAAGAGGCATTTTCAGCTAAACAGTCCTCTTCAAACAACCTGACAATACCTACAATGACCGATGTTCGTGGTACCTAGTTAGTTGGCTGCGTTTCTTGTTTGATCCAGTTTTTCATGAGGTGCCAGCCAGTACATTTATTTCAATCACTGCCATAACACAGTGCACTAAAAACTCAGTGGTACCTCATCTTTTCTGCATGATTTGTATTTATAAAAACAGGAAAAACACTTTGCTTGGTTATTGTGATCACAGTGCATGAGCTGCTTTATGTGGAGTTGGCATCACATAATGGCAGCTTTTCTGTGCTTGGATGCTTCTGTTCAGCACCTGTCTCTTCCTCATTTTGCCATGTTTCCTCCAATTCCCTTTTTTGTCTTGTGTGTTTAAATGGCATAAGGGGGGCACAAGGGAACTGTCTGGTTTCTAATCTCTCTGCAGCAGTACAAGAGCCTACCTTCATCAAGATTAAACCTGTCAGTGATCACTTTGCCCACTGTCATATTGCCAGGAAGCTAATGTTTAAATGAGAAGTCTCGGGCTCAATGTACACAGAGCTTCTTTCACAATCAACTGACAACTATGGCCCACGTTTGATGTCAATAGACTGCCCTCAGCATTCTGGGGAACTGACTCACATCAGCCCAGATACAAGACGCTGCAAACAGCAGAGCTCCCACGAGTGAGCGCTTCCTGAGAAAACCAAGGTGAGGTTGTGTGGGAGGGCTTCTCCCCCAACCGTCCCAGGGACGACGCTTCTTGTCTCTGCTTGAAATTAACAGTATGCCTGCAAAAGGCTACAGGAGAAGCCGGTTTTGCTGGCCAAAGATAAGAACATAGTTACAGTTTTCCATCTTGGTTTATCCAAACAACAACAAAACTATGGCCAAGGGGAAGTTAAAATCCTTTTACCAAAATAGATCACAGCTCTCTCAAAGAGAACAAACTCTAGAGTAAGTGATAATGAGAAGCCACCCTGGTCTCAAATTACTTTAACAAAATGACCCAGCATGCAAAGAGAAGTCTTTTGGCTATTGCTACATACTGTATATCAATATTAGAGTACACTCAAATATTCTTAGGCCTTCAGACAGTCAATAATACACAATCTTTGGCACATTTAATTGTATATTATCGACCATCTGAATACCCAAGAATAGACAGAGTTAATCTGAGAAGAGTGAGAAACCCTGCCTCCTGGATAACTGCATTTACCCTGCAAACATAAAGCTGTGAAAGAACAAAGATATACATGTGTGTTGTCTGTGCGTGCCCATTGGGGGTACTGTGGAAAAGGCTGAACAGACATCTTTTGTCTCAATAATAACTCTGAACCAGAGCAACATACCAAAGACTTAAACACCAATTTAGAACTTTATGCTCATCTTTCCCAAATGGAAAAATAAGGTCACCAAACGCATCGACAAGACTGCAACATGGCAGATAAAACTGTTCTGATTCTCACTCCCGCCCCTTACCAAATAGGGAGGAACAGGGAAGATATGTGTATAAGGCAGTGTGGGTGGTTGTTCTTTACAGCTTGCCACTTACATCAGACTTGTGAAACGACAGCAAACTGAAATAAAGTATAGAACTGAGGAAAATACAGAAGCAGACGCAGCCACTTTGTCCCAGCAAATTTCCCTGCAATCACTTTCCAAGTCTTGGCAAAGCTTAAAATACAAAGTTATAAACTTGCTGGCTTGTGAACACTGTTACAAATCATCACACTTCTTTCTGATGTACAATATATCAATTCATTTAACCACCTAAGAAGTCTTGCCAGTGTGCATGAAACTGATCCGAGAAGCCAACAAACTACATGCAAGTCTGCCCCCACTGCACAGGGATTATCATTTCTAAGGGATTTACCTGAGGGCACAAGATGGCTAATGTGTGGGTGGGTGCTATGATAAAGGTTAAAAGCTCTGTGTGATCCACGTTTGAATGTATACACCATACACAGTCTTTTCACATCAGATAAGATTAAAGGGAAAATGCAACAAGAGAAAGCCTTTACAGATAAGTAGACCGAAAGAAACAAAGAAAACCCCACTAGAAGAACTGACTGTGGCATGTTTCAGACGAGAGTTTAGAGAGTGAACTGGTGAATATGTGTGGGTGTGATTTACCTACCTGCATTTGTATGCGCTGCCTATCCACATCACGGACTGTGTGTCTTTGGTTGGTGCAGTGAGAGATGCAGCAGAACGGACACAAAGCCACCTGCTCATCCTCACAGTGGAGCAGCCTGTACTCCTCGTGGCTGGGACAGGTCCAAGCCTTCAGCTCCTCGGCATCAACTAACAGGTGTCCAGGGGCCGCACACGGCTGCTGTAGGTGCGTCTGGATATGAATTTGGCAGCAGGGCTCCTTACAGCGCAGACAGATCTTGCGCACAGGCAGCGGGGGGCCTCGCCTGCAAAGGACACAGTGCAGCATAGCAGGGACTTTCTCAGTGTTCAAGGCGTTGAACTGCTTCACTATGCTGGCCAGCTTAAAGTTCTTCTCCAGTGTGGGTTTCTGCTCGTAGTCATGATTACACTCAGGGCAGCGGACCGCAGCGGTGTCTTTGGCCCAGGCCTCGGAGATGCATCCCTTGCAGAAGTTGTGCTTGCACAGCAGCTGGACAGGTTCCTCAAAAACGTTCAGGCAAATGGGACACAGCAGCTCCTCTTCGAAGGAGTTTTTCCAGCTTGCATCCATGACTTCTGTTGGATCCAACCTGATGACAAAGAGAAGCAAAAGTAAGAATTTCTCTCTAAAGTCAAGTCTATATAAAGAAATCCCCTTTTATCACACTGGAGCCAAAATGGCACATGTGTGCTCCGCGAAATCACAGGTGGAACAATTGTTAGGCGTAGCAGCCTGCAACACAACAACACAATCAGCAGACAACGGCTTACTTCTAACAAACAGGTTTAGATCATACAGCCCATGGTCACGATAAGCTTCTTATGTGTCAGGGTGGAAAGAAAGTGTCAAACTTAGTGGAACAACAACGAAACTTCGACAAACCTCTCCAAATGTTGTCACAATGTAGCCTAACAATTCACAATGCGCACAAAGACAATTTAATGGCTTGCAGATTTTCCTTGGGGACTTCACAACAGGACGACACAAGCTGTGGCGCTTGAAAGCGTCAAACTTGCCCCAAAATAACAGTAGAAACAGGAGCCAGTCTAATAAAATACTGTTTCTACTCGAACGCACTTCTCGCCAACAATCAGAAAAACCATAACCACAGACTAATGAAACATATTACATGGATTCTTATTGATTAAAAGCAACGTTACCAACTATTTATTGTCCATGTCGTCGGCAGACTCCGGTGCACCTATAATTCCGTGGAGCTCTGCGTCCTGCTCCTCCGGTTAGACTTGAGCCGTCTGCCCGCCGTAGCCCGCCGCTCACTGCTGGGATTTCCACAAGATTCCCGGGTGTTGTTCGCCTGGTTCCGCTTTCCCGTCAACTCTTTGACTCATATACAATGGTAGGTGCAGGCTGCTTATGACTCGTCGGGAGGCAGCTCAGCACTTCCACAGACTCCCCCCCGTCCAATAACGTGAACCGTCACAGAGTTGATACATGGACAGGGTGGAGCCGACAGGAGGAAGGCAGGCAAACAGCCACAGCAAACTCTACTGGAGAGATTGTAAATGAGCAGGAGCCGTGTATACGATTCCTAAAGTGGAGTCCCGGTTGGCTGGGACAGAGGCCCCCAGGTGCCCACTGAGAGGGAGGACAAACACCGGGGACGCATTCCTTCCGTGACAAAGTGGACTATGATGCCACCTTCTAGTAAGACTCCCTTGCAGCATGGAATTTGCTGCTTCTTTTTACTAAATGGCCAGATGAAGCTGTTAGAGGGCCCCAAGCATGGCAAACACTAGCTGATGTACCTTACTGGAACCTACTGCCCCACTGTGGTCTCTTAAGTCCAGTGCCAACAATGCTCCTGTGCTACTAACATATTTAGCATAAGCATTACTAGGAACATATAAAGTAATGATCCAATGTCTCACCATACTAGACTTTACACACTTAAAACCATCAAAAATCCTCTGCACTTCTGTCTTAGTGTTCCAGCTTTATTTGTGTAAATACCTACACACCTGAACGCATTTAGGATTACAATCAGCCAGTTCAGTCAATAAGATAACTATTACAAAATGTCACAGCAACAGTGAGTAACCTTTACATTTGAATTACAAAAAGACAAATATAAGATATGACTACATTTTGTATAAGAGTAGATCTGTGTAAGAAGACACTGTAGTAAAAGTGATTTGGTGTTAACATGGAATGCAACAATAGTATTAGATTCAAAATGATATTTCTGAACCCCCCAAGAGATAAAGGCAGCTTTAACAGTCAGTCAGAATACGTGGTGTTTTTTCCAAGTCAAGGCACAGAGGAGTTTTTAAGGTTTTCAAGCAGGTCCTACTGATTAAAAAAAAAAAAAATTTATGGGACCGCTGGAGACGATGCTTGAAACAGGACACTGAACACGGGTTCCTTGATGGTTTTCATTTCATAACTCTAAAACATGGATCATGGAAAAAAAAAAAGTGAAAGATGCATTCAAAAATTATTAGTCATTACAGGAGGCATGTTCTTGGCATAGGAAGTGAAAGGCAGGTATACTATGCAGTACTTGCCAAATGCCATTGAATGCACTTTAGAGGCTTGTCTGGTTACCCTCAGACCAACAGGCAGTTAACAGAAGCTAATCATAGTTCCGCCTATCAGGTCAGACGGGTTATTACAGAATCATGACACAGACATACAGAGAGTGTAGGCAGCAGAGTGTCAACAGTTATAACTTTGGTTTTACCACAAACACACTAGAGAAAAATGTCCAGCATTTGTAAATACTCTACACAATTGAAAACACAAAATGATTCAATATGCAACTTTTCCGCCCTTTCTAAGGCCACCGGAATAAATAGAACTGCAACCCGGTTATTGCTTGGGAACATCATATCTAGTGATCACAGGATGTGTGTTCAGCTGCATTTGTGACGCATACGTTGGACCTGGCAGGCCTTACTGGAGGGAATGACAACATCCTGTTTGGCTCTACAACTAGTGGGTCACCTGTAGTGATTGTTCTAACAGCTCAACCATCTGGAGAGGCTGATCTGACATCTTCAAAAGCATTCAAGCCTCAGAGAAATGTTGTAAGCACTTGGGCTAGTCTTGGAATGCAGTAACAGTCACAAGTCTTCAGTTCTTCCCTCAGATCATCTTCGGGAATAAAACCATTTCTGGCCGTCCACTGTGGGAACAATATATCTGTGCACCCTTATAGCTGAGGGCTGCTGCAAGTCTCCTTTTCCTGATGGTCCACTTTGGAAGTGTGTTTGCAGGTGTTGTTGTGTGCCTCATTGAAGTGGATTATCAAAAACAGAGTCTGGTAGCACAGAGATCTTCAGCTTCTTTTCTGGCCAGCTGTACTCCTTTGGTAATTTTGTCTATACAACAGAAAGAACATACAAGGTAAAAGAGGCAGGCAGTTGAACAAATCCAAAATGAAAATAAAAGTTCAAATCCTGTTTTTTTTGTTAGACTTACCTCCTCGCGACTGTGAAGTTCCTGTAAATCCCCAAGCATCTGCTCAACAAACTCTTCAGTCAACAATATCTTTACAGAGGGAGCAAGTCGAATAAATGCATTAAATATGTCAGAACCACGTGAAAACTGTGTTTGTGTGTGAGTCTGTGTGTGTCTACCTGAAGCCAGGGGCCATGGGCTGCATATGGATGCTCTTCAGTAGCAAAAGCTCCTTCAACTCCCGTAGACACAAATGTAATGGCCGTGTCCCCATTGATACTTTTGTAAGTGAAGTGTCTGCCATGAAGCAGCCGTCCCCTGTAAAAGATGATCATCCCAGCAAGTAAATGCATGCGTCTTATTTTTATTTGTCATTTATTTTAGCCATAAATGTATTTCTTCCAATGTGACAATTACTAGTAAGCTTTTTAAAACAAATGTAATATTAAAATGTTTCAACGTGTGACAAATATGACAAAAATAGCTGATTTTCCATTTTCCTTACAGAAAATCTTTAAGAATTTCCTGTTGAAGGAAGACAATGTAAAAACAAATATTTTTGCTAAATATTATCAGAATGAAATCTAATGTTGTGGATCATGGCATTTGACTTTGTAGACTAATTGTAGACATCTGGAACCAGTGCAGTATTTTACAGGAGATAAAAAAATAATAAAAACTCTTTTGTTTCTTCTAGATATTTGGGTTTATATGTGTGACAGGTAAACATCGCTGCTAGAAACTACACAGTGACTTTGCAATAAAACCAAACAATGAATGCGGGACACACAATCTAATCAGTGCATCGTCAAGTCCAAGTGGACACTTGTGCCAAATTTGAAGAAATTCCATCAATGGCCCGTGCGGACCGACAACATGAAAACATAATGGTTCTGGCCGCAGCTATCACAGGCGCAGAGGCATAAAAAGATCACATGTTCCAAGTGAAGGTGAAAACCAAACACAGGTATTTATCAGCTACAGATCTTTAAATACCACGAGGCCCAAAGTATATTAGAGAAAGTCAGAACACAAATGTTAAAACCCTGCTAACTGCTGTTTTAACTTCGCCATCTCTTCTGACAGCATAGCATGTAAACTAATATTTGATTTGATTTGATTTATTCTTTCAAGCATATAAAACAGTTGATATAACAACACACATTTTTACACACAATCCAATATCAATTTGGTTATACTTAGTACATGCTTGAATGGAGTAGGAAAAAGTCAGACTTATCCAGTCCTACCCCATGACATCATCTTACCATCATTGGTTTGCAAGCAATAAATGATTAACTTCTACGC